TCTCTCTCTCTCTCTGTCAATTTTCATTGCTTTCTAGAATTGCATGTCATTAGGATTCCCATTGGTACGATTTATTGCATAGGTTTATGTTTTGTTATAATTGGGAATTCAATTTTTGTCTTGTTGTCTATTAAACCTGAAATTTATGGTTGTAGAATCCATTTTGCATAATTGTTGTTAAATCAAACTTTTTGTGTAATTTAGCATTTGATCAATACATTGTAGTTTGTTCATTTATTTTAATTTGATTGTCCATCTAAATTGTGTTATGAGTTGTTTAAGTATCTTTGTGTTAATTCCAATCAATAAGCATAATCTCTTATAGCTAAATTTGATTCCGTCATGCAAAACCGGTTTTAATTTTTGAAACTCTGATTAAAAGGTCTTCAAACTATTTTTCCAAAGAAATTTTATTACGGAGATCTATTCATCCCCTTCTATACCATTTATTGTCCATATTCTTACCTAATAAGAGAGAGAGAGAGAGAGAGAGAGAGAGAGAGAGAGAGAGAGAGTGATAAATGAAATTGAAGTGATAAGTATGAGAGAGAAAAACTATTAAAGAGATAAGCGACATGAAAGAGGGTTGTAGGAAAAACAACGGCAGAAAATCCAAATTTGTGTAGAAAGTCACCTATTACATAAGTAGTATATGCATGATTTAGATCCTCTACAATTTTTTTCTTCACTCCTTGTATATCTTTATATATCTATTTCTTTCATTGATTTTGAAAGACTGCAAGCACATAGTTCTATTAGAGTTGTATAAAAGTATTGTTCCACTTAGGGTCATTTGGAGTACTGAATTCGCTTAATTTGTTAATTAGCTAAGATGCTGATTAATATTGTTAAAGTGATTTTAGATTGATTAAAATATTTATAAAAGAAGACGTAGGACTATGATTTCCGCCTTTGACTCTCTCACGTAAACTCTTCTTTATCCATATATTATAATAATATGTGTTTTGCATAAATGAATAGATAAAAGTGATCATACTTTCTTTCACCATCGTATAATCTTGCCATGGACCAATTAATTACTTACTTTTGTAGCGTAATTCTTTCGTTCTGGATTTTTTAAGATTGGCTTTATTTAAAAATATTTTTCGATTAAACCAGAGACATTTTTAAATCATCAATTTAACTATTTGTTTTTTCAACTCTAATATCAATTATACACTTTCAATATAGGACTGATATCTAATATTATCTCTACTTTCATAATATATACATTAGACCCTAAATGAATGAAGCTAGCACAAAATTTCTTATTAACAAATAATAAATTGAAAGCCTACAGGAGGTCAATCATTTAGATAGTCCTTATGATCCTAAATCTAGCTACGACTCACACATGTTAATGATGGAAACAAGCATGATTATTGATAGCATAAACATAAGCATAATATGAAAGAAGAAGAAGAATAAAGCAATTAATAAAATAGAACCCGAATTGAGAAACTAGATTATAAACTGATATATGCTCAATGTAAACTTTTTGCAAGAATGATAAAAATGCTGAAAATTATAAACTAACTTATGTAGAAAAATTAGAAAATGTTAGAGAGTTATTCTAAATATTACAAAACATTATATAGTCTTAGACCCATAAAGAAAATAATAATATGCATTAAAATGGGCTTAATCTGAAATAAAATAGTTTGAGAATTGGAAAAATGTAGTTCCTAAAACAGCAAAATGCATAAAAATCATGAAGAATTTCTTATCCCATCTCTTGGCTTTCTTAGACACCATGCGCTCTGCCTGAAATACCTCCTGATTTCAGAGATGTATCTTCGGACACACTTTTTCAGCTTTTTTTAATTAATTTCATAGATGCATCTATGGAATATTTCCGTATGCGTATTTACTGAAGAAAACCAGAAACAGAATATCAGAAAATCAACATTGCAACGATAAAATTAACATTCATAAAATAAAATCGGCATTACATTGATGATTTCGACAGAAATTTAAATACTACATTTCAATATCCTGGTGGGCACTTGCACATCTCTAAGATGTCATCGACCGTTCTTTGGATTGTCGCCTCCAACTCGAGCAGAAATTTCTCTTCGAAACTGAAATACGTTCGCAGCATCGCCATAACATCGTCTTGATTCTTGAGCTCAAACTTGTTGTAAATAACGTTTCATTCGTTGTCAACTAAAGGTGAACGATACTCAAGCTTCACAACCTTTCATTTTTCATTATAAGGTAGGCGATATTGGATCTTGTCTATGATATCGACGAGGGGTGAGATCCATGAGCTTGAACGTTCTCTTGGGTGTTTTGCCTTCAGAAAAGGAGACACTTGTGACATACCAACAGATCTTGATTTCACACAATTTAGACATTTTTGTATTTGTGTGAAAGATAAAAAATGAAACCCCAAATTTATAGAAAACTTAGGTGAATATGGACCAATCATTTTCTGTCAAACTTTTTTTCGGAGATATATCCACGGAATAACCCCATAATTGTTGGTTTCGGAGGTGTATCTCTGGAACTTTCCCTGAATTTAAAACATATCAAAACAAGTATCGTCGTCTAAATCTATTGGTAGTACCCCTTTGGACTTTTTCACATTCAATTCCTTTTCAATGTTGTTCAATCTTTCGAATTCGTGCATCCTATCAACAAAACGATCTGGCCACGTCTCGACATTTGTGAATGAATGAGTCGCCTATTCCGGTGATGTAGATGGTATGGGACACCCCGGTTTCAAGTAAACTTGTACAAAATTTCTTGATTTTGTAAGCCATCCAATACACATGATGCGATCATTTAGATTTTGAGGTGGTGCGGTGCAGAGTGGAAAAAAGGTTTTCGAAAACACGTATCGCGTCAAGTTAATGCACACCCTATCATATGCATATGCAATAAGATAACCCATATTGGGGAAGGTCATCTATTTTGACACCGGTACCGGACCACTCAAGTAAGGAACAAGAGATTCACAAACCGCATCGAATTTTTCTTTCTTTCTATACAACCGCGTGTACGATTCTGTATGCGTCTTCAACTCTTGGATTATTTGATGAAGGACAAGCGCATGACCATCATCTCCTTTACCAAGCAAAGTCGAAACGGCTCAATAAGCGCATGACGATACAATCGATGTATTTGTGCATAAAAATCGGCATTTCGTCGATGAATGAAATTTTCGGTGGAATCGGGGTCGGAGGCGGTTTGCTTATGTGGGCTCCTTTCATGACACTTTTTTGAGATTTAGGAGTCGGTGAGTCGGGAAATTTTTTGTCAACGTGCTCACAATAAGAAGGAGATTGTGTAGTCGAGTTGTCATTCGGTGTAGGCTTCATTTTCTTTATAGCACCTTTTGTCTTTACCGGTTGAGAAGGCAGTTTCATGTCGGTTGTTTCGAGATACACAATCTTCCTCAATTGTTCTTTGATGTGGAGTTTCATGTTGTCATCGGCTTTTGAGAATCTCTTTTGTATCACTTCCCATTTGGTAAAAATAGAGATATTCAGTTTACGTCCTTCCATGCAACCATCATCATCAAAACTAAGTCTTTTTCAATGAGCGCAAACTTCGTCCATTCTTATTGGCTCGCCTAGTTTCAACTTTCTAACAATAACACAAGCACACAGAAGATCATAGGTTTTCAAAATAGTGCAACCATACTTTGCGCTATCGAAACCTATAGTTTCAGCTCATTTTGCCTCGTGAAAAATATAATTCAACCCGGGTCGAGACATATTGTCAATCAATTGAGAGTAAAGAATGTTGTCTTTAAATTGATGTTCCAATACCGTTATACTCCGACCAAATGTTGTTTATATCTCATTATGTTGGTTTTTAATGATGAGATTTTATGAGTCACAATCTCGACACGAATTCCCCTTGCTATTACCCAACCAATTTTGCAAACTAGCATGGGCCGACTCAACTCTGTTGGTAGTTGTATTTTCAAGGTGTTAGACATTATCAGTTCACACACAGACTATCTTCTCCTTCACCTGATCAAGAATGGTGCTTTCAACGTATTTTAATAAAGCAGGATACTTTTCACACACTTTCCGGAATTAAATGACGAAATCGGCATATAATTTTTATGTGGAAGAATTTAGTATATGATTCCACGCATCCATTATTTTTTCAACAATCACACCGATCTTCACCAATTTTCCACCTTCTGACTCTACGCTCCCACCGCAGGTTTAACCCGACTTCTCACATTCTTTGTTATGTGATATTGACAAAATAATGCATTAGAAGAAGGAAATACCTTTGCAACCGCATTCATCAACGCGGTATCTGGTCGTTAATAATCGCTTTAGACATCTCAACTTGGTCCTTCAAAAGTGGCCGACACACCTCTAATGCCCATGTAAAATTGTCCTTTTTTCACACTCCAGAAAAGCAAAACCAACAGCATATGTCTTCTCGGTAGACGTAACACCAACCATCTCAAATAAAGGAAGTTTATACTTGTTGGTCTTATAGGTAGAATCAAGAATGAGCACTGTCGAGAATGTGTTGAACAACTTTATCGAATCCGGATGAGTCTAAAAAACATCTCGGACCATAACTCCATTGTCGCAAGTTTTATACCAGCACACGTAACAGTTATCATCCAACAATTTCAACAGTTGTTGCATCTCACTTTTATCTCCCCTAATCGCCTTGTTGGTGCGGTACCGAATGTTAATGTTATACACTTGCCTTATATTTGATATATTGTCGGGTTTCTTCCGTTTCAATGTGGCAAGTATATTTTTTGGTTTGACAAAATTTAAGGTCTTGTCATTAATACATGCCTTCTCTTCCGACTTGAGCCGACATACACTAGGATGGCCTTGTAACTTTAAGCACAATTCATGGTTATGCAAACCACAAATAACACTAAATTTTCACTTTTTGGTACTCAACATGTAACCACGAATCTTAAAAGGATATTCACGCTTTCTACTGCCGGTGTCGTCTCTTTTAAACTTCCGTAGATGAATCTGATATTTCCCGCTTCTTTCGCACAACTAAGTTACAAAAGCATTTCTTCTTTCTGAACCATTATTCGATCTTCCTATAACCACATCCAAACCAAGTCTAGTTGCAGTCCTACGAATCCATGTGAACATGTTATCACAATCATCAAACTCTTGTTTGTTATTAAAGTCAACGCCGACATCTACTGACTTTACGACAACTCCTTGAACATTCGGAGAAACATCGTTTGTAGAAACTAATTCTTTTGAGATATTATCGGGGTGCACCATATCTATTTGTAAACAATAAGAAAAATAAACAAAAATTATAAATCTGCTGTTAAAAAACAGGTCACAGACACGTCCCAGAGATGTACATCTGAAAGTGTTCATCTTCAACACGTTCCGGAGGTGCAGCTCCGGAAGCAACGTTATTTTTTTTTTTCCAAAATTTTGATGATTAATGTGAGCAATGTAGTGGACAAAGTGCAATCTTTACCTGAAATTCGATCTTTTCTTGCTCTCTTTAATTTGTTGCACGAAAAAGTTAGAGTTTTAGAGTGAAAATGATATTGAGAATGTGGGGTTTTTTAGATTGGTGAAGGTGAGTGTGGAAGAAGAAAACACAATAATGGGGGAATGATCATGCATGTTTCAAATATAGAAGAATACTTCCGGAGCTGTATCTACGGAACAATCTGGCGCTTAGACGTTCCGGAGGTGCATCTACAGAAGTTTCCCTGAACTGAATTATTTTGAAGTTTTTTCCAGCGTTTACCAATTTAAAATTATTTCGTAGATGTAGCTCCGTAAAAAACCAAATTTTGGCAAAAAAATGTGCGTCCGGATATGTATCTCCGAAAGTAGGGGCATAAAAGGAAATGCGTTAGGTGTCTAAGAGTATCAAGAAGTGGATTAAGAAATTCTCAAATTAAGGGTCTGTAAGGCCACAATAGCCATTACGGTCAGGCTGTAATGTGCCCTGCCCTGTACTATGAAAAACCAAATTAAGGGGATTTCCTTCTGGACCTGAGTCATTAAGGTTGTATTGTCCCTAGTTTGCACTACTGGATATATGCTTTCGTGTGTATTAACCAAGTATTTTCATGCAGTCTTTTCTTGTTTAACTCCAATCCACTCCATCATATTCTTGCACCACCAAAACTCCTGAATCAAAGAGAAAAGAGGAAAACATAAGTAAAATAGAATAAAATGGAATTAAAGTAAGCAATAAGTAATGAATTCAAAGACAATAAAAATACAACTTATCAAATTTTCTCTCTCGACTTTATCACGTCATTTTTTATTTTTTATTTCTCTTTTATCACACTCACAACCAATCTTTTAAAAATCAGACCGGATATCAAATCAGTGAAACTTCCGATTTAAGGTTCAATTGGTTAAATCTACGATTGAACCGTTTATTAAATAAATTAATAATATAAAATTAAATTTCATAGATATATCACACATAATCATATTTTCACAACTTAATAAGATAAATATTTCAAAAATCTATTACAAACTTGATACAACAATATCGATACGACATATAATAACATAACATAGTTGTATACTTCATTTCAACATTCATCTAAGAATAATTTGATAAAATGAAAGAATTAGAATAAAATTAGTTAAATTAATTCAAACCAAAATTAAAATAACAAAACATATTAACTAAAATAAAGTTTAAATAATTAAGAATCCATAAATTAAATAAAATAGAATACCAAAAATAAGCAATACAATATATTTAATTAAACAATAAAAAGAGAATTCGAGTTAAACTATGACATATAAATCATAATTGAAAACAACAAATAATATTGACTTGAATTACGATCAATATTGAGATGGACAGCGTGAATATGTTTGAAATAGACGGCGTGACGATGGAATAAAAATTATAACGAAGTGACAAAACTTAAAAATTTGTATGATTATAAAAAAATACGGAATTTTTTTTGGTGATTGGAGAATGTATGTTACATTTTAATATTGACATATTAAATTTTTTAAAAACTTTTTTAAAAAATGGTCAATATGATACATTTTTTTTGAACCGAGCTATTTTACAAAATTAACACCGATTCTTTAATTCAAATGGTTTTAGACGATTTAATCTGAATATTTTGATTTTACCCTGATTTTGATCTATTAATGATTTTAAAAAGATTAACCTAATCAAATTCATCTTTAATTTCCGGTCCAACAAATTAACCCGTCCGATTTAATCCTATTTTTAAAACATTGATGACAATCCAAGTAGGTGATCTAAATATTTTTTCACTAACAAAAAAAGGCGTTGATATTGACCCAAACTAAAATGTTGGAATGTGAAAATAAAATATCTTTAATCAAGGCAATGATAACAGTTTGATCACTTGTTCTTTCTAGTTCTAGGGATCACCAATGTTTGTCTTTTCCAGCATAACATAGACAAAGATTGTATGAACTTTGGTGTGGACCACATAAACAAACCACAACATTAGCGACCCCAATGTTTTCATTCAACCCAATGTTTTTCCACTTTTTTGTGCAGAGTCTTCGAGAGACATACTACTAATCACATGGATACTTATAACTAAACAAAAGCTTCATACGAGTTTCCCAATTCGCTTTGCCTTTCAAAAGAAATGTGTCCCTAATAAGAGTGAGTGGTAGCTCAATCTACAAGTTATTGGGGATATGTGAATTTCAAAAGAGTATAAAGTTCTAGTAAATAAGAACTTATTATGAAAGAAAAAATTTATAAAGAAAGAGATAAATTAAAGCAAAAGCTTTATTAGTCTTAGATGACTTTTTCTATTCCGATGGATGAAGATCTGCCTTTGCCTTTACCATCAGCATCAAAACCCTTTCACTCAGATTGCTTGTGATTGCAATCTCGAATCTCTCGTTTTCCCTCTTCTTTTTCTTCCTTTTCCTTTAAAAACTATTCTCTCACTAAGTTTCCTTTGGAAATGCTTTATCATGAGTTCATCCAAAATTAATGTATCCCTACAACACTTTTTCACAAGTATCTCATTTACTCTTCTTTCCATCACATTCTTGATCACCTCAAAAAAAAAAAATAGATAGCAAATTCTATGACAGACACAACAACATTACCAATAGAACACACTTTAAAAAACAATAGGTGACTGTAAAAACAGCCACGAAGATGCAGATATTGATACTGTTATTTATAGCTTTTTTGATAAAGAATAAATTGTACTTATTCATACCGAACAACCACAATCAGTGTCGAAACATTTATACCAACCAAAATCGTTGCAATTTATCATTCTTTACAAACTTAAGGAACTTAAGAAAATAACCAAACAAATATCAAAATGGTTCTGTTGTTCTTATTTAATCATCGTACAATTATAGTTAAGAAAACAACCAAACAAATAGCAAAATGGTTCTGTTATTCCTATATCTATGATATGCTTCTAGACTATAATGAGACCATTAACAATAGCTTATTAGTACTAATAACATTATTAGTACTAATTAATTAACACTTAACACGAGTAGTTCCATACACAGGAAGCTCCTCACAAAACCTTTCATCTCCCAACATACCCAAATGATCCAACTCGAATAAATCAGAACTCGCACAACTCGCCACGTCATCATCGTCTTCTTCATCATTCTGATTAACACACAAATCCTTTAACAAAACCATATCATTCTTCTTCTTGTAGCTATTACAACGATACTCATTCAAAAACTTTCTAGTAGCTTCTTCCACTTTAACCCTACCCTCTTCCACGCCACAAAAACGCACCGTTTTGTAGTTATCTCTATGACAAAACGACGCCGTCTTACTCAAACAAGACCGTGAAAAAGAAGAAGCAGAGGAACACGTGGTGGAGGCTACTTTTCTCTTGTCTTCGTAAGAAGAGCCTTTCGTTTTCTTCTCATTATTGTTATTATGAAACAGCGAGTTAAGAAAACTCGTGAGTCTTCCACCTGGTGAAATCGGTTGCTTCACTTTCTTGAGATTGTTGTAAATCTTAACCGCTCTCGATTTGCTTTTTATCAAAATCGCTTCCTCGCCGCGTTTTTCTGTTCCTTGTTTGGTTTCTGAACCTCGACGAAAACCGTCGAAAACGTGATTCCTCTGTTTCTCGCTTTCAAATCTGAATGACTGACTTGTTCTTACCGGTTTTGGCCTCGGTGGAAAGAAGGCACGTGGTAGGGAGTCTGTGTCGGAGGAGAATCCGGCGGAGCTAGAATCGGAAGAAATGGAAGTGGAACTGAAGAACAGAGCATCTTGTTCGTGATCGCGTTGATGGAATTTTCTGTTGTCGGGTTTTTTCACGACAGGAACAGCTTTTTCGGTTTTTGGTTTGTTGTTGAAATGTTTTGTGTCGGTTATTAGTTTTTTGATAACCGTTGGTTTTTGTTGTGTGTAGAATGAGGTTGTTTCGGTGGGTGATTTTTTTTCTCCGTCGTCGATGGAACGGTAAATTTGGTCTAAGAGAGTGGAAGAGAATGAAGGGTTAAGGAACCTGTCGTGTTTTGTAGATGTTTTTTCCAATTTGTACATTTTTGCCATGCAATGAATTTGGTGGGAACAAAAAGAAAAACAAACTAGAAAATGTTGAGGTAGCTAGGGAGGTGTTGAAATCAATTGTATGAGAAAAGGAGAAGAGATGTTATGGGTTGTGAGAGGATTTGAATGAAGGGTAGAAGGGGAGAGAGTGACTTTATAAAGGGTAGAAGAGTTAGTGAGTGAGTGTCATGTTGTACATATGCTGATGTGGCAAAAGTAGTTTTGTATGCAAGATTGGGTTAGTGAGTTTTCCCAATATGGAAATATATCACCCTCATGTGTAAAACTGATAATGGAGAGATTTTTGTATTAATTATTTAATTAATCAAATTATAAATTGATCTGATTAATTATTAATAAATGAATGATGATATTAGTTAGGATCAATTGTCAATAAATATTACTCTCTCCTCCTAAAATAAGTATTGTATTTGAGTATTTCAAGCAGATTAGAAAAATATTTTAAAAAAAATAAAAAATATCAATTTTATCACATTATTCTTCTTAACTATTGGTATATTCTAATGGTCATGAATGTCAAGTGAGAGAATAGTGAATTATGTAGTTAATATTAATCGAAGAGTACAATTGAAAGAATGAAGGAAAATTACATTAAAAAGTGAAAGCCACACTTATTTTAGAACAAATAATTTATTAACATGTCATATTTATTTTAGGATGAAAGGGATAATTATTTATGAATTGTTTGATTGAAATTTGTTTTTGAATATTGATTTATTTTGTTAAGTCTAATAAGATGTTTATTGTGAGATGTTATTCATAGTGTAGAAACTTAGACGATTATGATGGTAATTCATGTGTCATTGTAATTTTTAGATTGGTGTCTCTCAAATCTTAAAAGATATGTGATTCAATCATTATGTTCACTCCATTTAGCCTCGCCCAACAGGAGCCTACAAAAAAGTGGGATGGGGTGAACATTGTTGATGGTGCGGGATTAAGACTTTGATTTGCCTCGAAAAAATGAGGACGAGACATCTTTTTAGCCTAAAATGACAAAAATTTATGTTAATGTCTGCGCCCGTAAAAGTTCGCAAATAAACGGGGCATGGCATACATATTAAAGGTTGCGAGTTTAAAACCTTGACACATCCTGTAAAAAAGTGTGGGCAAAACAAGCATGTCTAGCGGACCGAAACTATTTTGCAATCCTTACTTATGACCATGTGAGATGTAAAGATATGACTTAAATGAGACTCAGTGATATGAACATGTATTTTAGCATTAAGGTTATCTCACAATGTCTTGTTATATCCTAAGTGATGAGTCACCCATCACGTTTCTTGATGGAGCGAGATCATGTGAGCAAAATTGATAATGTAACCTCAAGACTCTATGAATTTCAGTAAGCCACAGAGGACTATATATACTTACCTCAAAGGCTAGGTCTAACGATCACTTTTTCTTTTACATATCATAAACTAAAGACATTTGTTTGACTTATCTAAGGTAGGGTCCCTACTATTTGTACTCATAACAATTACAGTTGACGTCCACCGTGGAACCCAGTTAAAATATTCATGAATCATACTTTTCAAGAATTTTGTTAACCTCGTCACTACCTCACAATGGTTATCACATGAATTTCATTCAGTACTGGGGCCAAGAGGTCCTCGCGAAGAAGCGGATCATTATGGACGAATTACATTTCCATAACCATACCCTACAAACCACCATTCAGACCATCCAGGAACAACAACGACAACAACTGTTAGACGACAGACTTCAATCTAGAGGGGGTGAATATATCACAAAATCTACAATAAAATTTTTTTGGCTCAAATTAGTTTATTAAAAATAATGCAGCAGAAAACTACCCGAATCGAGTCATTTATCTGAACCAACTATCGAAAAGCAATATGTGTAACGTAAACCAACATAATGATAATCAATGCAAACGTTCAACCACAATTAAATTCCTAATAAATTAAAATCAATGTTACTTGTAACTTTGTGTATCCAATGAACTAAAACACAAATAAACCAAGCACAAACAATTTATCAAAACTTGGAGTGCAATCGATATCTATTGGAAATTTACTTTGTTTTGTTGATGTGAAAACCCAATCACAATCAAGGATTATGATTGTATCAACAACAACACTTATGATGATGATAATTGAAAAACAATTTCCAATCGAAACGATCAAACGATAATGAATTCGATAAATTGCGTAAATGATATTCAAAGCAATAAAGAGATAAAAGAGAGAGAGAGACCAAGATTTGCTTAGGAAGTTCCCCAATTGGCCTCGCTATAGGTACGTCTCTCCTCAATTCCAAATAGAATTGAGATAATGCAATTAACATTTTTCTTTGCAAAAAGTTTGTACAAGAGATAAAGAACACAAACCCCAAAAATCCTATTATTTTGTGTTGATTCTTCTATCTCCGAACCCTTGATCAAACTTTGATCAAGTCATCAATAATGCGTCTCCAATCCACCAATTGTACCAAGACCACGAATGTTGAAACCCGGGATTCCTGAACACAATTCACAGTTTCACGCTACTCCCTTACGAGGATCCCACATCGTACCAAGGCTTCTTCACTCAGTCGAATCTGCATTGACGTGATCTTGTCCAAAACCTTCAAGTCTATACCCGATCTTGAAGGAAAATCCCACCTTGGTTTTCTTATTTGAAACCCTAAAATTCTCAACCCAATATTCTCGATCACACCAACCTAATTGCACGTTATCAACCCTACTCTAGATGGTCACCCAATCAAAAAATGATTATATGTAGTTCAATTATATGTATGCATAGAAGAAAGGTTGAAGATGATGAGCAACTATCTTGTATATCGTTTCATTATATTTTTTACTCTTAGAAAAAATCCTTCAAAAGAATGAGATGCTTGTATGAGTATTTATATGTGAGTGTATGTACAAAGACAAGAGGGGAGCAGGAGGAATGAAGTGCAAAAATACATTTATTGGACAAACATGCATAGGCCGACCTGTATAGGTTAATAGGTTGGCCTGTGAGGCAACCTGTAGTGCAAGCTGTAGGCAGAAGGTACAAGCTTCATTATTGCTCCGTAGAAGCCGGCCTGTAATAGTTATGTGTCGGCCTGTATGCATATAGGTCGGCCTGTATATGATTTATGACACATAACTATGATTTTTCATGTGTATGATAATCCTAAGACCTTCCTAGCATGTTCAAAGATACTTTTTGTGCATTTTGAGGCTAAGATACCAAATGAACATCTAAGTGCGAGTCGACACCGTCCAATACACACGAGAGAACTAATCTACCTTACAAAAACGACAACAAGACAATAACCAGCAGGAAGTCATAGAGGTTTTGGACCCCGACCCACCTTTAATGACATTTGACGGATAGAGAGATCCTTTAAAGTATGTCATTATCTTCAATTCATAAATGGATATTATAGACATCATAGATTCACTTAAGTGTAAAGTTTTCTCTGGAACCTTGAAGGAGGTGGCATTGCACTAGTATATGAACTCTCTCAGATTCCTTATGACCAGTTATCACAATCTGACAAGGAAGCCGATCTATCAATTTATAGTAAATAATTACCGCAAGGTGTCTACTATGATCCCACTCAATGTTTATTAAAGACATTTTGAGTCCTTGCGAGTACCTGACACACTTCAATGAATCTACCATGAAGGTGGTAAACCCTAATTAGGAAATGTTCGTGGGTGACTTTTATAATAGATTCAAGATTGGACACTTTAACAAGTCCCTTGCTCAAAAACATGCAGACTCAATCGAAGAGATAATGGCAAGGGAGGAATGTTATGTAAAAGACGGTAAAAGAAATATACATAGAAAAAAGTTAAATACACAAATGAATGCGTCAACGAAAGAGTGTTCGACTCCTCTACTCAATGCGGAAACAAATAACTTCAACCAATTAGGGACATTAGAATCTTACATGTCTTTTATACTAGGCGAGAACATATATAGCAAAAAAATTCAACACTATGAGTCATTACCCAAAACCCCAAACCTTAAATGGAAGGTTATGGAAAATGAACTCAAGAAATGGCATAAATACTACACGATAAAAGATAAACACATAGAAGAATGCTATTAAATTATGAAAGAGATAGAGTGTCTCATTCCAAAAAAGCATCTCAAAAGATATGTTTAAGGTACGACGTCCAACTTAAAAGCGAGAACGGACCTCTTGAGCGTGATAGGTTTGGAATCTCCCAACCAAGGAGATTAATGTTATGCAGCTAGGTTAGACTAAAAGCTTGTGAGATATGGATCGAACTCTAGTTAGCATGTCACCGAAGTTTGCTCACATACTGTTGTCGAAGACCTACACGTTGTAGTCAAATTGTATTATAGTATGTAGTTGTCGAATTGGGCCTTGTGTTAATGATCCAATTGTTTAAGTTATTTTATACCCTAAGTTAGCTTGTAATGGATAATTGTTAAAAAAAAGCATTAGTTTAGTATGTTAGGTTTTATTATAAATAGCATAATAGTCTATCATCTTAAGTATGGTGTGGTGTGACAAAACCTAATTAGGGTGGGAGGATTATTTGTTATTCTTGAGTAATTGTAATCTGTTTTATAGAGAAAGTAAAGAATAACAGTTATAACCAATCCTTGTTGTTTCTTCTTGTTCTTCTTGGTTGTTATTCCTTAACTCTAACCCTTGTGTATTTCTTGTCTATAAAGAACCGAGTATATTTTGTTTTAAGGCATCCTAATTCACAACAAGTTGGTGTGGTGAGCATGGAGAAGATACATTCAACAAAGTATGAGATTGAAAAGTTCACCGGAGTGAACGACTTCGGTCTGTGGCGCATGAAGATGAAAGCCCTACTGGTTCAGCAGGGTTATTTTGAAGCGTTAAAGGGAGAGGCAGCCATGGACACTATGTTAACAGAAAAAGCAAAGACGACCATGATAGATAAAGCCCACAACACAATATTGTTGAGCCTTAGTGATAAGGTTCTTTGACAGGTATCAAAGGAGACTACGACATCA